ATTAAACTCCTCTCGATCCGCACGCACGCGATCTCGTTCTCTCTCTCTCTCTCTCTCTCTCTCTCTCTCTCTCTCTCTCTCTCTCTCTCTCTGTCTCTCTTTTTCTCTCTCTCTCTCTCTCGCTTGCTCGCCCGCGTCCCTCTCTCTATTTTTGCGCACAAAGCGCGCGCTTCTCCTCGTTCCGCCGCCGTAATCGAATTTAATCTCTCGATTCGCATCGGCACACGGCCGAGTTTTTTCGCCCATGCCTCGAAACGCGACATCGCCTCGTCGTCCGTCGCACAATGCGCGTTTGTTCATCGAGCGCGAGCACGTTGCAAAGTCTCTCTCGCCCCCCCCTTCCTCTCTTTCCCTCTCCCCCGCTCGTCCCTCTCTTCGTCCTCGCCACCCTATTAAATTCGATGACTCGCTCGCCGATGATGGCGAGAATACGTCCAAACGCTGGACACTCGAGCTTAATCGGAGCGTCGCCATATTCAGTCATTTGAGGGAAACAAGCGTCATGAGCCTTTATCAGTTTCTTCACGAAGAACGAGCACAAACGGTCCTCTCAACGAATAAGGCGATCTCCGGGACGTAAACAAGACGCCCCACAGTGGGGCCAGATGACATTGGCTCAAAATTCGCTAGAGACCTGAATTTCCAACCGATCATCGACACCAATGGATGAGGTTGATCCTGAATAAATTCCGAAGAGATCTGTCTTGCCAAAATTAAACAAAAAATTTTTTTATCGAATTACTAACCGCAAAAAAGGAAAAATTATTGTTAAACGCGAGAAACTTGTGAAATATTCATTATTCGACACTTATTTCTATCTAATAGCGTATTCAACGGATTGAAACTATGAAACCAATCAACAGACACCTCGAGATTTATCGATCTTGAACCAGAAACCCATTAACCCAAAACTCATATGCCAAAAATATAAAAACATCAAATATGACCCGTTAAGCACAAAACCGAGGGATTTTGAGTCTTAAGCTCATCAACCTAGGAATCTATCAATCCGAGAACTTTTTAGCTCGTGGATGCATAAAGCCGTATATATTAAGAGCCCCAAATAATCCAAAATCTTATCTAGCCATAGCTCGAGAACCTAATAATACTCGACGTTGAATATTCAGCTATAAAACATTGAGTTCGAGCCTCGAAACTTTTAAGACAAACTCTAAACCCATGAACCCTGAACCGATAATTTTTTCAAAATTTCGGCTAGACAGATCTCTTTGGAATTTATTCAGGATTAACCTCATCGATGATCGGTTGGAAATTCAGGTCTCTAGAGAATTTTGAACCAAAAAATGTCATCTGGCCTCACTGTGCGCCCGTCCGACGATTCCAACGCGACTGACAACGGCAACGGCGAATGTCACGTCCGCGGAAAATACGGAGCCCGCAATTCCGGAGTAACCCTTGCAATGCCGAAGGCGAGTCATTTTGTGCTTACACTTCTTCCATTCATCGATATACAAGGTACTAAATTTCAGACGTAACAGGTCCAATATCTCGAAAATTAAATGATACTGAGATTCGTTTTTATTTTAGATTATATTGTTTCGGAGGAGAGACACGTTTTAATAAAAAAAATAAAAAAGATTGGTGGAGGCGTTAGGATAAAATAAAGATCGAATTCTTTTCTTAAATGGAACTCTTTTTTGAACATCTACGTTTGTAGTCCTTATAGTCACGACGAATCCAATGACTGCGTACCAAAGGTGATTAAAGGTCAAATAATAAAAAAAACTCGGAAAAATAATGCTTTAAGAAAGCAAAAAAGAAATAAACTCTATTAATGAATCTTCGATAAGAATAAAAAATCTTAAAAAAAAGAAGCCTTTTTTCTCCTTGAAATGGAGAATTCCATTAATTTAAGTATTCAAAATTCAAAATGTTGTCCCATTGCATCTATGCAAGCCTGCAATCTTCGTCGAAAATCATTAAGTGGTCTTTGTAATTTGCTCATTGAACTTATTTAACATGCTTCGCATATTCGTTGCATTATATTTTCCCTGGTAATTGAAAAATTAATAAAAACAATTTCTTGAATTCTATCCCTGAAATAATAACCTAGGCAGATCGAACGATTTGGCTTAAGTTATTTTTTATTTTCTGAATCTTTTTTTCCATTATTTGATCTCTAATTTGGTCATCTTGGGTATGTGGTTGAATTCGTCGTGACAAGAATTACAAATATAGGTGTTCAAAAAATTAGAATTCTATTTAAAAAAAACAATTTGATCTTTATTTTACATTGACCTCTCCACCCAAAATCAAAATTTTTTTTCTTATCAAAATGCGTCCCCTTGAAAACAATATAACTTAAAAGAAAACGGATCTTGATTTCATTTAGTTCTCGAAATATTTGACCTGCTACGTTTGAAATTTAGCACCTTGTATATCATAATATATTTTTATAACTGTATAATGAAGCAATGAATTTTACACGACGCTGTGAAACTCAAATGGAAAGGAACGAGACAAGAGAAAGGGAAAAATATAACCAGTCTATTTTTTCTTCTTAGAGCTGGAAATTTTGGCTGCAACACATCAGGCACATATAAAAATGTATGATGGTTAACTTTACACTAATAACAGAGTGTATTGGTTTTAATAAAATTAAGGTTTGTAGTAAGGATCATAGGAAACCATCGACCAATAAAAATTCATTAAACAGAGAAAAATATGATATGTAATATTACTCGTTTATGTTCTCCTTCTAACTGGATGCTAAGCATTTTAATGGAGGACTTCAATATTCATATTCAAATCTAACATTATCCGAATATTCGGATACTGAATAAATATCACGCTTTAAATTCGGATTATCCGAGGCACACAGTTAAAGCATCGTATCCAAAACCGAATTCAAATCTAAATTCATAGCAAAATCGGTCAAACATATTCGCGACAATTTAGGTCTCTCGAAAATTTCGCAATCAAATCAACATTTTGAAAGTGCATTTTCAAGACTCAACTTGAAATGCTCGATTATACTCATTCGTACATTTTAATAATAATTATTATTTCAGGTAATTATTGTTAAGTTAATTCAATCTTTTTTTCATTTGTTTTTCACATAATTCGAATCCAAATTAGGACTTTAATTTTGGATCTAATCTTTTAGGATATATAGCCTGAACTTAGAATTCGGATTATCCGGACTTTTCGAATAGTGCGATTTCAAGATAGAAACTAATCTCGAATATTCAGCTAGGTATTCAAGTACTTGGAAGCCTTATTTTCTACAATGTAAAGTTTACTGATTCTATTTAACCCTTTAAAGCATGATGTGGCATATAAGTCACACCTCGTCGAACTGAATAAAAAAATATTTCTTCATTTCTTATTTTTCTGATAGTATGTACCCTAAGATTTTAGACATCGCTGATTCCGAAAATGAAGTCGAAATTTCAGAATTCTCAAAATTTGTACTGATATGGCGGTTCTAATTAAAAAAAAAACAGATTGCATAAAATGTATCGTAACTAAGGAGTTTGCCCTGATAATATGTCCTCAAATTTATTTCCCGAGAGTTTTCGAGACCGCTGATTACAAATAAAGGATGTCCCAAAATTCACGCAAGAAGTAATTTTGATAGAAAACACAGGTTTATAATTAAAAGTTATAAATTTTTTATTGATTCATAAAGTATACAGTATAAGGTTATGTATGGAATAGCACATCGAGTAAATGGCCTCCACGGCTTTGCTGGCACATATACACTCTTTTGTTGAAATTTTCCATGACCGTTTTGCATAAATGTGGCTAAATTTCGTTGATACAACACTCAATTTCCTCCTTCAAGATGTGGGTAGTCGTGGGCTTGTTGGCATAAACCTTAGACTTCAAAAAACCCCAAAGAAAACCCCAAAAACTCCAGAGAAAAAAGTCCAACGGCGTTAAATCGCATGATCTGGGCGGCCAAATCTGATCGCCAAAACGGGGAATTACACGACCAGGAAATGACTCATGCAGTAATTGAATTGTTTCTCGGGCTGTATGGCATGTGGCACCGTCTTGTTGAAACTACATATCGTCTACATCCATATCTTGCAATTTAGGCACAAAAAACTGGTTTATCATGTCGCGATAGCGAGCACCATTAACTGTTATTGCCTGACCAGCCGCATTTTCTTCCGAAGAATGGTCCGATGATGTCTCAAAATCCGCACCAAACAGTGACACGTTGTGGATGCATTTGTTTCTCAACAATCACTCGTAGATTTTCTGAACCCCAAATGCGACAATTTTGTCGATTAACCAAATAATCAAGATGAAAATGAGCCTCATCGCTGAAGATGATTTTGTTCGAAAAATCAGAATCCACTTGTTGTTGTTCCATAATTCAACGAACTCTCTTCGCTGTGCGTGGTCAGTTTAAAAACTCTAAACTGTCAGCTGTCACGCTGTTTTTCTTTTTTCGTTGGCAACATTTTACCGCACAAATGGTGCAAAATTCTTCGTGAATTTTGAGACACCCTTTATGAGATCAGAATTACAAATTTTCCAGACATCAAGATGGCGGATCGAAATCGTGAAAATTAGACCGATTCACATCAAACTGTGTTTCCGGAAGTTTTTGGGGTGGCTGATTACGAATCTAAAGTTGAAATTGAGAAACTCAAGATGGCAGACAATTTAATGGGATTAATCGGTCTAATTTTCACAATTTGATCCGCCATATTGGACCCGCCATCTTGAATTTCTCCATTTCGACTTCAGATTCGTAATCAGTGAGCCCAAAAACCTTCAGATACACAATTTGATGTAGATCAGTCTAATTTTGAACATTTCGATCCGCTATCTTGAATTTTGAAAAATTCTAATTTCCGACTTTAGATTCGTATTTCAGTGGGAAAAACCCTTTATAAGGGAGTTCGGCGGAAATTGCATGTGGGAAAAAATGTATGCTTTAAAGAGTTAATACGTTACAATAAAGTTACACGAGAGTGAAGTCGTGACGTGAAACGCGATATTGAGGAAAGCTGTCTACTTACTTTGACAATCGGCAACCGTGGGCGAGCTCTGCGCGCTGGCGGAGTTACCATTAGCTATGGACGACTGGACGGCACCAAGACTGCGGTAACCTTCGTCGGAGACCTCACTGCCGTTGTCCGAGTGCTCGCTGTCACCATGAGGCGATTTCTGGCAATGGCGAGCTTCGTTGCCGAAAGGCTCGACGGGCTCCTGCTTGTTCGCGGGCGGACTCGGCGTCGGGCTACGACTGCTGCTCGAGTCCTCGCCACACTTGTAGTTATAAATCGCCGGCTCGTACTTTGGCGTGCCGTCCTTCTCGACAGCCCTGCGCGCCACGCCGCCCTCCACGATGTAACGCTTCATGAAATCTTCCGACAGCTTGGTCTGCTGCTGCTGTTGTTGCTGCTCTTGCTTCTTATTGACGTCCTTAAACAGCGCAAACGATTCCTCGTGAGCGACACCACGTTTCGAGGTACCGTAATCGAAGTTAACGGAAAGCGATATTCGAGAAATCAGTTAACTCCGGAAGAATAATTAAAATAATTAAAATTAATTAAGATAATTAAAGTTGATTAGAACAAACTCGTTATGAACCACGTGTGTGCCGTATATATCTTATTTGCTACGATTCTTTTCTATGATTTTTAACTTTATATTATTATTATACATATATATTGTATATGTATACCATACACATGATATTCCGTATAACTCGTCCACCTCCATTGTTTTTACTAACTTTATACTAACAATATTAACAATATTAATAATACTATATTATATAAAAATATTTGGCAAAATTTTTCCTTAGCAAAAATATGAAGGTCATTGTTTATAGCAACTCTTTAATCTTCAACATAACATCTTGGAAACTAAGCTTCCGCAACCAAATTAAAACTTTGTTGGAATCAAGTCTATTTAAAATTGAGAAAATAATTTTGTTGTCTATTAGATCATCCAATGTTTAGCTCACCAAATATCCTGCGATTGCTTGAAAACTTTCGATGCCTCGACATTTTTATTAAAAAAAAAAAAATCAAATTTCTATTAGAACAATATAGGCTCCCATTTCAAATGAGCAGAAATTTCAAAAAATATAAAAAATACTAAGAAATGTTTAAGACAAGAGTTGTATAGTTTCAAAGAGGACATAAAACAATTATATCATTTTGTTTACAGATAGCATCATTTTCGAAATACACATATATATGCGTTATTCATGTGTATGGATGCGTTATTGTTCTGATAGGAATTTGATGTTTATATATATGCTATATATATAAATATATATATATATACAGGGTGTGCCAAAAGAAGCGGGACGGTCGAATATTTCGCGAAATTTACATCGGATCGAAAAATTGAAACACACGTGTTCAATATTTTTCAAAAATCTATCGAACGACACCAAATACGACCCCCCACCCCCACCCCCTGGGGGTGGAGCGGGGGGCAACTTTGAAATCTTAAATGGGAATCTCCATTTTTTATTGCAGATTTGGATTCCTCATGAAAAAATAAGTTACTTTTATTCGGGACATTTTTTTCGAATTGTTGATAGATGGCGCTGTAATCGCAGAAAAACAAATACAGATCAGAAGTCTGCAAACGGTCAAATTTGTCGGGACATACGCTTCGGAACACAAAATTAGTATTTTTGAAAAAGCTATCTAATAATGCTACAGTAGACCGATAGATGGCGCTCTAATTGCAAAAACAATTCTTTCTCGCAAGTGAAAGTATTTCTACAGCTAATATGAGGTTAACGTCTTTCGTTGATTTTGTATCTGACTTTATTAAAAAACTACGTTTAGCATAACCCAGGAACAACGACGTGGACGTAGTAGTTTTTGTTCCCTTCGGGGTGCTTGTTTTTAGTGAGTCCCCTTGCCTCTCACTTATCGGGGTGCTTGTTTTTAGTGAGTCCCCTTGCCTCTCGCTTATCGGGGTGCTTGTTTTTAGTGAGTCCCCTATAAAATACACTAGGTAATAAAACATTCGAAGAATTATAAATTGACGATCCTCACTTTATTAACGATAAACTGTATTCTTGTAGTAGCTTTCGGCTTCTCTACCAGCCATTATTCAATAAGCAAATTAAAAATAAACCTGTCGAAAACTAATCTATTGAAGTAGAAATGAAAATGTTTGTGATTCCATACTCGTGTAAACAATATTCAGCAAGATAAGAGTTCTTTTCTTTATTAATAAATACGTAAACAAAAAGTGGACTATTTTTGTTGTGATTTTTTTGCTTCATCCATTTGGTAGGTACTTTTTAAATGACACATTAGTTCAACTGTTTAAGTTGATTCAAGCAGATGAACCTTCATCTATAAAGAAAAATTTTACTTGAAAATGTGTTTTTTCTTTCAAAGTGGCTCATCTTAATGAACAAGAAAGAATGTCATTACTAACGATGGTAGGCTGGGATGATAGGAAAAGGTCATACTCGGAAGCAAGAGATATTTTCAATGATACTTTTCGAATTGGAATGGATCCTATCTCCAAATCGACTGTGGAGAGAACGGTTAGAAGATTTGAAGCTACAGGCTCTATGAAAGATCGAGCTAAATTAGGAAGACCAAAGTCAGCAACAAACGAAGAAAAAGCGTTGAATGTTTTATTATCATTTACGGAAAATCCTCACAGTAGTCTTCGTAGAACTGCCCAAGCTCAAGAAATTGGTACATCTTCAGTCCGCAGGATTTTGAAAAGTAATAAATTGCATCCTTACAAAATGACACTTGTTCATGAGATAAATAAAGATGATCCCGACCGACGTTTAGAATTTTGTGAGGACATGATACTTAGAATAGATCAAGATCCAGACTTTCTTTACAACATTGTATTCTCAGATGAAGCAACATTTCAATTGAATGGTACTTGTAATCGGCATAATTGCAGGTATTGGGCAGACGAGAATCCACATTGGATGCGAGAGAGCAAAACCCAATACCCACAGAAATTAAACGTTTGGGCTGGAATAATAAATAATCATTTGATTGGGCCATTCTTTATCGATGGTAATCTTATTGCTCAAAGGTATGAAAACATGCTTCGAAATGAAATAATTCCAACAATAAGGGAGATTGCTGGCGATAACTTGGAGCAGGTTTGGTTTCAGCAAGATAGTGCTGCACCTCATTACGGACGGAACGTTCGTAATTATTTAGATGAACATTTTCCTGATCGTTGGGTTGGACGAAGAGGTCCGATCGAATGGCCTGCCAGGTCACCAGATTTAACTCCACTTGATTTTTTCTTGTGGGGTTATTTAAAAAATCGGGTTTACGAAACGAAACCTCAAAATTTAGATGAACTGCGTCAAAGAATAATTGATGTAGCTGCCCAAATACCTGCAGAATACTTAAAAAATTCCATCGAAGCTGTTTACCATCGATTAGCTTACTGCCAGGAAGTAAACGGTGCACAATTTGAGCATTTACTACAGTAAAGTTATTGGCGGCAATCATGAGAGGCAAGGGGACTCACTAAAAACAAGCACCCCGATAAGTGAGAGGCAAGAGGACTCACTAAAAACAAGCACCCCGAAGGGAACAAAAACTACTACGTCCACGTCGTTGTTCCTGGGTTATGCTAAACGTAGTTTTTTAATAAAGTCAGATACAAAATCAACGAAAGACGTTAACCTCATATTAGCTGTAGAAATACTTTCACTTGCGAGAAAGAATTGTTTTTGCAATTAGAGCGCCATCTATCGGTCTACTGTAGCATTATTAGATAGCCTTTTCAAAAATACTAATTTTGTGTTCCGAAGCGTATGTCCCGACAAATTTGACCGTTTGCAGACTTCTGATCTGTATTTGTTTTTCTGCGATTACAGCGCCATCTATCAACAATTCGAAAAAAATGTCCCGAATAAAAGTAACTTATTTCTTCATGAGGAATCCAAATCTGCAATAAAAAATGGAGATTCCCATTTAAGATTTCAAAGTTGCCCCCCGCCCCACCCCCAGGGGTGGGGGTGGGGGGTCGTATTTGGTGTCGTTCGATAGATTTTTGAAAAATATTGAACACGTGTTTTTCAATTTTTCGATCCGATGTAAATTTCGCGAAATATTCGACCGTCCCGCTTCTTTTGGCACACCCTGTATAATATATATATATACAGGGTGCACGATTTATTGAAATATCTCGAGAACTATGCATTGGATAAAAAAAAGTGGTTAATGAAAGTTGTTAGTCTCGAAGGGGGACATCCAATGATACCAAACTCGACCTCCCACCCCACCCCCTGGGGGTGGGGGTTGGGAGCAACTTTGAAATCTTAAATGGAAACCCCCATTTTTTATTGCAGATACGGATTCTACGCCACAAAATACGTAAATTTTGTCCGACACTTTTTTTTTGATTCGTGATAAATGGCGCTGTAATCGCAAAAAGTTATATTTGCCCGCAATTCTCCAGAAATGATCATTGGATTGAGAAATAAAAAATACCTGTTCAATATTTTTAAAAAATATAATAAAAGTTATTCCCCCCATCCTCTCGAGGTAGCGTGGTGATAACGTTCAAATCTCAAATGGGGACCCACATTTTTCATTGCAGAATTAGATTGTACGTGAAATTTTTATTGAAACAATTTTTTTCATTCGTGATAGATAGCATTGCACTGCCTTTTATAATAAGCCGTAGTTCGCCATACACCCACAGTGGCGTGTCGAGCAGTTCCCTCTTCGATTCGGGTTCCCATTTGAGATTTGAACGTTACCACCCACCATACCCCGAGAGGATGGGGGGGGGAATAACTTTTATTATGTTCTTTAAAAATATTGAACAGGTATTTTTTATTTCTCAATCCAATGATCATTTCTGAAGAATTGCGGGCAAATATAACTTTTTGCGATTACAGCGCCATCTATCACGAATCAAAAAAAAAGTTTCGGACAAAATTTACGTATTTTGTGGCGTAGAATCCGTATCTGCAATAAAAATGGGGGTTTCCATTTAAGATTTCAAAGTTGCCCCCAACCCCCACCCCCAGGGGGTGAGGTGGGAGGTCGAGTTTGGTATCATTGGATGTCCCCCTTCGAGACTAACAACTTTCATTAACCACTTTTTTTTATCCAATGCATAGTTCTTGAGATATTTCAATGTCTTCAGATAAATCGTGCACCCTGTATATAATATATACATATATATATATAATATATATGTAAAAACATCAAATTTTTATTAAAACAATAACGCATTTATATATATATATTTTTTTTATATATATACATATAATTAATATAATTATATATATATATATATATATATATATATAAGTATATATTGGGTTGGCAAATAAGTTCGTTCGGTTTTTTAGAGTAGAATAAAACACAATTTTTTGATATACAAGATAAATTTTAATCAATTATATATTGGCCATCTTTATCGATGACCTCTAGCCATCTTTCCACCAACTTCATTATGCCGCGTTCGTAAAACGTCTGAAGCTTATCGGCGAAAAACCAATTCAGGTGGTTTTTAACGGCCTCTTCATCCTTGAAGGTTTTCCCGTTCATAGAGTTCTGCAGCAACCGGAATAAATGATAATCGGAAGGGGCAAAATCCGGTGAATACAGAGGATGAGGCAAAACATCCCAGCCAAGCTGAAGTAATTTGTCCCGAGTGGTCAATGACGTATGAGGTCTGGCGTTGTCGTGGTGGAAGACGACACCCTTGCGATTTGCCAATTCTGGACGTTTTGTGCGGATTGTTTGGTTCAATTTCGTCAATTGCGAACAGTATACAGTTGAATCAATCGTTTTTCCTGACGGTAACAGTTCGTAATAGATGACACCCTTGAAATTTCACTATACGGAGAGCATTATTTTCTTCGGATGCAATCCCGCCTTCGAGGTTGTTTGCAGTGGTTCGCTGCTGTGCCCTCATGATCTTTTATGCGTTACATTATCGCAGACGACCCATTTTTCGTCACCCGTTACCATTCGTTTCAAAAATGGGTCGTTTTCTTGGCGTTTCCGTAGCGAATCGCAGATGGATATGCGTGTGGTTAAATTAGCCTCGGTTAAATGATGCGGCACCCAAACATTAAGCCGAGAAACGTATCCCAGCTGGCGTAAATGCTTTTCTACGTTTGTGTGGGATATATTTAATGTCGTAGCAACCTTTCGTGCCGATTGGGATGAATTTACTTCGATTATAGCTTTAATGTCACTTGAATTAATCTCGGTCGAGCGACCGGAGTGGGGCGCATCATTGACGACGAAATCTCCAGAACGGAAATTGGCATACCACTTTTGGCATACGCGTTCTGTTAAGGCATAATCTCCATACACACGGCATATCTTTTTATGAGCATCCGCAGCTCGTTTGCCTTTTTTAAAATAATAGAGCAAAATGTGACGATAATACACGTTATTTATTTCCATGTTCACAGCTACGCAGCACATACAATACCGATGTTAGCCAAACCAAACACAATACAACATAAACAGTGAAACATGACCTTTCAAATGTGTATTCGACTTGCACGATAGCGCGGGGAAAAGAAAAGCAAATCCGCATGAAACTTACACTGAAATAAAAACCGAACGAACTTATTTGCCAACCCAATATGTATATATATATATATATAATAACTTTATATATATATATATATAATAAGCACGAATTTTATCAAATATGTTAAAAATTAAAGTTAAAATAAAGTTAAAAATTATACGAACAGTCTCAGTTACAATATTGAGGTACACATATGTGACGTCTGGTGTACGAGAAAGTTTGAATTTATGACTGCGTTCTTAGCCTTTATTTATTAAAGCTAGATTCTCACTATCCATCTAGACAGAGATAAACAGGAATTCGTCAATCTTCTTTTTGAATAGAAATGATTGAGATGTAACGATGACGGATACTGTAAATATTTCAACGTAAAAGCATCGTAGAATGTTTTGACAGATGATTGACGGAGTCCTCTCTGCTGTCGCCTAGACGGATATGAGGATTCAATGTAACATGTTGAATGCCGTAATAGTTACTAGTGACTAACACTATGACACTAGTGCGTCTCATTGATTTAGATATAAAGTACGTACAATGAATAGCATTTGAAAAATCGGCTGCAAAGCCAATAGAAACCCAATGAAATAAAGCAGAAAAGATACGCGTCCCGAGTGTTATTTATCCACCATTTATCCATGTCTGGTAATTCAATAATCTTCAATCATGAACTTTCGTACAATCAACAAAAATCAACACGGGCAATCAACTTGAAACGCACGATCTAGAAACGCGCGCGTGTGGAAGTGTTTGCAACTTCAAATTTTCCGTACAATACAACTTTCCACTCTCTCGTTATTTCGACGAATCTAAAAATACGAATAAAGAAACGCCAGCTTACTCGGCCGTTCTCCTGAGCTTTCCCATGACTCGTCGGCGACACCGCGCTGCCGCTCTTCAGTTCCGCTCGCGACGTCGGGCTTCTCGATCTCAGATTCGCCCTGGGCGTCGGCGACCTTGATCTCTGCTTCCCCAAATCGGCCTGGTGATTCGGACTCGCCAGGAATTTCCTTTGTGGCGTGGGACTTCTCGAACGATTTATCTTTCTCTGTTCGTCGCTTGACTGTTGCTGCGGCTGCTGCTGCTGTTTGCTGCCGGCATGATGAGGTGTGGGCGATCGCGATCGATTGCTGGAAATGCTTCTGGGTGCGTGCAGCTGCGCCGATTGCGGGCCCTGCATCGTGCCGGCACACGAACCGATGCTCGACGCGGAACTCCGTCGCGTTCTCGGAGGTGATCTGGATAGAAACAACGCAACAACCAGGCGTTACGGCGGAATTGATGTCGGTCGTTACCGGCTCGTTCTGACTGGCTATGCTGGAGCATTTTCAGTTTCCGTACCCGCGACCAAATGTCACGAAGCGCGTACACTATCGTTCAGAAGTTCGTGAGCACGAGAAAGATCGGCAAGATTTACGAGCGAACTCATCGACGGTTACAAATTTATTTGCCCTTTCATCGTGGAAAGTAATGAACGAAATCTTGATTATAGATTAAGCCCAATTTTGGACCAAACTTGGTTAAAAGAACACATTGTAATAAAATCATGAAAAAATTTTGTTTATTTTCCTTAGCCCTTTTATAATTATTACATGCTAAGATAACTTTCATAAATATTATTAATATTTAAAGAAAAAAATATGGAATACATCACTCGTTACGAACAGCATATTTCACTTGGTAAAATTGATTCCTAAAATGAAAAATCTGTATTCCTTAAAAAATTTTACAAGTCATAGACTTATATTTTTTTTACTGACCTAAAATTGAACATCACATGATTCTTACAGGGATGTGAAATAATTTGCTGTTACATAATTAGGACTTACGTAGAAAAACATTCCTAATTATTTCTTTAAGGATCAATTATTCAAAATATAAGTTTGTTTTAAAACTAAAATGTTGCTTATTTATATTGCTATTAATAGTTCATTTTAATCTTTAATTGAAAAATTTCTGGAAAATGATGAGAATTACTCTAACATTAAATGACTCATAATTAGATCCATTACTTTACTACAGTGTGCGATCGTGAACGATTGTTCGTTATATTTTATGTGAGTTTCGGAACGCATCCCTATCTTGTCCGATGAGAGTTTATTTTCGAATGAGAAAATTCTACCATTGAACAAGATGTGTTCCGGAATTTATACAAAATGCAGCGACTCCACTAATTGAATCTGATGTATTTATGAACGATGCCGTTAACTGTATAACGACAAGTGTTTACGTATGTGTATCCGTGTATTTTATTATCCTGTAGGAGTCGCGCGATAAAACGTGCATAGTTGAAACAATGTTGCCAAAGCCATTAAATTTAAATTTACGCACCGGATGACATTTGCGAGAGATACATGAAAAAAATCCAATCCGATCTCGTCATCAATGTGCTATTCTCGCTATGCATCTCAAATGCGTAATTACACAGCAAGTGTCCTATTTATTGCATATACATAATTTTTAACAAATAAAATTACCTGATTAAAAAGCGTAATTTTATTTTCAGCGTTTGTAATTCTCTAATTCTCAAGTTATATTTATGTCTTCAATAAAAGTTCTACACGGAAAAAATCACTAGAATTTCTAAAATCTGATTATGTTGACTAGATTGTTTGGTGAGATATCAGTGATCTATAATTTTGATTAAAGTAATCAGACAAATATGGTTATACGTGTTCTGATTAAGGCAGCCAGACACATTTAATTGCAATACTAAAATTATATACAAATTTATATATATTACCGGCTAGAAATCTTTTTACTTCTTGAACTAAACTCATTTTTCTAAGATATTAGTGTATAATGACCTTACTTGAAAAAGAAAATTAGTCATTTAATTAATAAGATGTTATATTAAAAAAGATAAAAACTCGTTTAACCTTCTCAGATTCGAAATCCTGGGTGGATCGTGAATCGCCAATCTTACGTGCTACACCACTTACTGAACTGATAAATATGTATTGTCTATATATAGAGTGTATAAAAAAACAGTGAAAACTAACTTAAAGTAAAACTTACTTACTAACTTAAAGTAAGTAAAAAAGTAAAACTTTAGAAAAAAATGTTTGGTTTCCGAAATATTTCGCCGTATACTATGCTCACTCGTAGGAAAGAGTAGGACGGACTCTGTAAGATTAATTCCTTATAAGTCGAATGCTCACAATCACGCATGTAAGATACGTAAAAATAACTGCTATTTTCCTATAGCAATCAGTGTTTTTAATTTCAGTTAATAATAAAGTTGTATCTTCCCTCGAATATATTTTACTTTCAATAGTCAATTTTTAATATATTTACTTATGTTCAAACTGCCTATTGAACTGATATCATTAACAAGTAAACAATCCTCCATTTTTTATTTTGATGAGCTCTAAATATATTGTAAAATATCTAAAAATATTATTTATTTTCATTATTTATCATATATCACTTATATTTTTTTAGCAATGTATCTCAACGTTTAGGAATTGAAAAAATCTTGAAAATAATGGATTTTTTCATGTTTAAAGGATATCTACGAAATATAAAAAGTATATGAAAAAATATTTTATGCAGAAGTTTTATGATATTTTATTTTTTTTGCAATGATATATTCATGCTTTCTGAGAATTGTTTAATTTTTACTTCTACCTTTCCTTCCATTATTTTTGCAAAATTTAAAAATTTTATAAAGATAGAAATTAAAGAGAGAGGACACACATGAAAAGTATAATATACCATATATATATATCCTTCCATATATATATAATAATATTATATTTCATTCATCTCCACTCTCACATGATTGTTTCGTTGCATATTTTGTCATTAGAATTAATCCGTTTTCATGTTGTAGTATGAAAAAGTATACACAAGAGGCAGTTATTAAATACAGTGCAACAAAAGGGAATAACATTTATTAATTGAGCGACGCTTTTAGCATAATTTTATCATTCCATTTTTGCAAAAATGGAATTATGGAAACATAATATTATTATACATGGATGGATTTGGAATTTTATGCATTTTAATTTTTGTCCTTGTGAAATTTTTAAATTTTGCAAAAATAATATAGATGGAGCTGAAGGTAAATTAAAAAATTTATATTGAATTTAATAATAGGTAATAATATTTTAATTTAATAATAGTGGAGGTGGAGATAAATTAAAAAATTTGACATTTTCGAAAAACGTAAATATATCATTGTAAAGAATGTAAAATATCATAAACTTTTGGATATATCTTATATTTTCGAAAATATTCACTAAAAACGAAAAAAATCCGTTATTTTCGAGAAGTTGTTTCAACTCCTAGACATTGAGATACGCCTCTAAAAAAATATAAGTCTAATATTTTTTCATGTTCTAAACATATCCAAAGCCCATCAAGATCGATGAGGAACAATTCCGACAATTCTTTTGTAAGCAATTGTTTCCATGCAGACTTCTATTTTAAAGAATAAGAAAAATATACATATAGACATGTCACAATAATTATTCTGTTAGTTCCCTCAACACTCAGTTAACCAACCATGTCACGTTGGTCCAACTAGACTTTTTTTCCGTGTAATAATAATCTGAGATTGCTTGGAGATGAACGCAGCAATTTTCTGAATTAAAATGAAATTAATTGACGTGAATAAAATAATTACGACTTTTAATGAGTTAACCATACGTCGAGATAAAGGAGAAAGTCGAATACTCACCGTTCATAATGTACCTGCGCACTACCCAAATCGAAGGACGCGCCGGCCTTTTGAATGAGCTTCGCTGAGATCATCGAGCGATGTGCTGAGGAAGTGAGAAAAAAGAATGATGAAATATTGTCACAAAGACTCGTTTAGATTTAGGGTTTCATCAGAAGGACTCGGCAGAAGACGCGCGATATACTCACAAGTTCTGCATCGACACGGATCGTGTTTGTCCAAATAATGGCTGAGAGTGTCCCAGCCACCGCCGACACGCACCATCACGTGACTGCGCAGTATCCGGACGAAGATTAAGACCTTGGTGTCGCCGATCCGGTATTTGCCCTCGGATACGCGAATCATCGGAAATTGTGTAGGGCATGTGCAACCCTCCACAAGATCGCGAACCTGAAAATGAAAAAATGTTCCGATTTATCATCGATTTTCCTTCGATAAGAAACGATTATGCAACAAGAAATATCTTCTCCATGTTCTTTTCTTATTAATTTGCTTATAATTTATTCTACAATTTTCTTATTTTCTTCTAATATTTTTCCAATCTTTTTGATAGTTCTTCTAATAACATTTCCCTCAACACACATAATATTTGTAGTAATATTTCAAATTCCAATTTTCCATTACAACATTTTCTATTCTTCAACAAGAAATTTCTGTAGTAACGTTATGTTCCGCTGCTTTAAAATAAAGAAAATAAGAAAGTGTTACTTATTTCACATCCACCTACAAATAAACGAAGCTTTCGTTATTTTCGCATTCGCGGATATTCAAATTTTTATCTTCATTCAAATTTATCTATCCTTTCCTTTTAAAAAGTAGCATGCGTGCTACATATCTTTCATATTTCCGACTACTCGCTCAAAGAAATCTGCCCGTAACGTCGATACCAAACACAGGTCGCTATTTATAACATTCAGCGTTGTATTTTCGCAGCAATTTCGGCAAATATACTATCTCCAGCTTGAGAAACAGTGACGTATTCTCAGACGATTGCGATTTTCAGCAACAAACATCACAGGGTGTGTTTCTTTATTTGCAGGGTTGGGAAAGTTATTTTGTAAAAGTATCTAAGTTACAGTTATAGTTTTTTCACTGAAAAAGTAACTAGTTACAGTTCTAAGTTACTAACCCTCAAAAATAATATATTACAATTATAGTTATTTGGAAAGTAACGAGTCGTTATTTTTTAGTTACTTTTTTACAATAATTGTGCTGTTATTTTAAATTTCGTCATTGTGTAAATTCCTTCCATTTTATATAAAAGTAGTTTGTTGATTATTATATTCCTCATATTGTATACAATTTTCACAAATTAGATTCATTAATTTAAATAAGCAATTCATATTTATTCTTTAAGACTATTAATAATAGTTATAAGAAAGTGAATGAATTTGATGAAGATAATAAATATTAAAAATATTAAAGGTAATCTTAACATCAAAAATTGGATTTTTTCACTAAAAAACATATTAATATTTTATAAATAAAGACTTACACTCATATGTTTTCTAAATTTGCTGTTGAAGTTCTACTTGCATGAATAATTTTTTTGCCAGCGCAAATTTTGCAGAGAAATGCCCAATTGTTCTCCATTTCCAAATTTTTGCTGCAACTCAAATATTTCTCCATATACTGGCCATGGCATTTTACAATCCTTCTCCAAAGACTGAGATGTTTTATCCATTGTTTGAATTTTTTATATAATTGAAACTACGCAGCGCTTCACGCTGAACGCAGGTTATGTTAACAAATAAGGACTGGCGACGCGCGACGAAAATATTCAATAAGCGTACAATTTTTTGAAAAAAATACAGGTTGCGCTCGGAGAAGAGACTATCAGCGCTATTGCGTCATTTTATCTTTGTTTTAAATCTAATGAACGATAAAGATAGATGACGCAACAGTGCGTTTTCCAAATGCAGCCAGAATAATTATATGCTTATTGGATATCAAGCATCGCACGTCGCATTATCGCGCTGGTCTGCCAGAAACTTAAGTTTGAAATATATAAAGTTACTATTAAAGTATTGTTAAATTAAATTTGTTAAATTGTAAATTGTAAATATTGTTAAATTATTAAATTAGTTACTAATTATCAAACAAATGTAACTGAGTTAAGTTATGGTTACAGTTAAGTTACGATTACAGATGAAAAAACGGAACAAAGTTAAGTTATAGTTACCAAAAAAATAACTGTAACTGTAACTTCGTTACTTCCCAATCCCGTTTGTTTGCTGGACGCACTAGGCACGCTGCCGAAACGGGTCCGACATACAGTGGGTCGAAACGGTGAAAGAGGTGGACATCGAGCCAAAAATAAAAGTTCGAATTTCACAACTTCATCTACTAGAATGTATTGTAAAATAGTTCTAATATTATGATCCGAATGCAGGAAACATAAGATAATGAGTAATATAGATACTGTAAACGTTTAAAGTCTCGAGTTTCTGTAATAAGTAAAATGTGTTAAGCATAAGTCGTCCATTTGTGTTCGCCGTATATATATTTTTTTATATAAATAATAATCGATCCTTGTCTATCTTATAGTACATAATTCTATGGTGCTTCAAGAACATTTTTATCATATCCGTTACCAGATTTTGTTATATTTTACGCATTTTTCTCTATGATGAATTAGAACGAAATCGTAACTCAACTCATATATGTTTATTGAATAATTAAAAAGAATGTCCATATTTGTCCAAGATCTACTAAATAGGATTTAAAAATATCATTCATATAGTAAAAATCCGTATAGTTTCAGCTGCGATCTCGTGCGATCTTTTCTCCTATACATCGTATAGTAGATAGAAACCATCCAACCTATTATGTACAATTGTACATGAATGAAAATTCGGTTCGGAGACAGAGTTTCGCCCAGAAATCATTTGTAATGAAAATTTCAGTAAAATTTCTGTTTATATTTCCATAATATTTTTATAACAATATTTTTTTTTATTGAATTTTAAATATTCCTGTTTGGTTTCAAGTCAGCGTTACATAGATAAGAAACAAGACATACATTTTTTTCAATCTGTTGAAACGGATTGAAAAAGAATCGCAAAATTTCGAATAGTCCTTTAATCCAGTTCTATTCATACACACGTAATCAAAGGATTTGCGAAGAACCTTTATGCTGTTTTGTTATTCTTGGCTGTTTTCACGAATTTTGTTTTACAAAATCCACTAGTCTTGCAATTTTCTCTTGTGTTTTCATACAGATTGTTTAATCTTAAAATTTTCAAAAATATATAACAAATATTTTATTAATTGAATTTATGCAAGAAAATTTGATATAACTTGCCCAAGGCTAGCTTGTTCCTTACCTTCACGTGGTGCTAGCTGTTGAAACCGAATAGGAACATTATATATTTATATATATTCGTTACAATACTATTATTATCAAAATGGTATACAAAAATATTATAAATAAAATATTTTATGAAAATTAATTTCATTAAAACTTATTCCTGCACAAAATTTTGTTTCCGAACAGAATTTTAGTCGGTGTCCACAGAATCTGAAGTTCTGATCCACTGTGCGACGTAGCACGGTGCGGTGCGGTGCGGTGCGGTGCGGCGCGGTGCCTGGCTCATCCGATGTATTGTTTTACGGAGAAAACACGCTGAATCGAGAGAGAGAGAGAGAGAGAGAAAGAGAGAGACGGCAGTATATAGAACGCCTCTAGTAATTAGTAGGAACGAAATGAAATTCTCGGAAGCGCGCTAAGATAGTTTCAAATGGACGTCCGTTTCGTTAACAAGGCCGAGCGGCAGGTAAAACTGCTCGACTTCATCTCTCGAGTCGCTTTCAGCGGCTGGCTGACTCGCTGAGTCACGCTGGACAAAAACGGAGCCGCTCGTGTAAGACCAATTACCAGGCCGGGAAACCTTGCTTTTCCTTCGAGAAAGTCGCAATTTAATGAAGGAAGGGTTGCATTTTACCGGCGGATCTCCGATAAAATCGCGCAAGTGTATCTTGTGAGTATAATACACAATCGCAGGGTATCTAAGAAATTCTCTAATTATGGGTAAGTGTTTTAATTCATCATCAATCCAGCGCATTTTCGTCAGACGAGTGACAATGGTGTCTTCGATATGTCTGACAGCATGTTTTTAAGAACAGTTTGATGAATGAATTCGACTGAAGTCAATAATAAGTACACATACCGAAAAAAGGTGACACCGAAAAAAGTGGCCAAACTTCGGTACCATATTACTCTTCCTCTTCCTAAGGATGGAAAAAAGATCATATAAACATAGGTCCAGAAACTCTTCCTTTCCGAGATATAAACACTTTTTTGTATGATTGAGTATTGTAGGAATATTTAAAGTTTACTTAAAGAAATTGCTGAAAATGATTTCCTTCTGTAATAATAAACATTTCACATCGACGTTGCAGAAACTGTCGAAGACGTTCAACAATTCTTGGTGTATTCCGAATTTTATCACATGTGACAATAATCCGGTTTTCGATTGTTTCTAGATTATCAATAGTATTATTATCATAGAGTAAACTTTTAAGATGCCCCCACAAGTAAAAATCTAAAAGAGTTAAGTCGGGGAAGCGTGCAGGCTAAGCAATCCTCCAGGTCCTCCTCTGCTAATCCACCGGTTGGTGTAATTGTTACTGAAGTATTCTCTAGCAGTTCGACTAAAATTGGCCACATTCGAGTGTATGTTGCCAATGGTACATCTTGTAATAATGTAGAAAGTTCAATTGTCAAAAATTATGTATAATTTCTATCATTGAATGTAAATGGAAGAAAAACTGATCCAATAAGCGAGTCTCCAATAATTCCAGTTCTCTCGTTGCATGAAAACTGGTGTTGGTATCGAGATTGATCAACACAGCATATGTGTTAACTAAGTTTCAAATATTCCTACAATACCCAATCATAAACAAAACAGTGTTTATATCTTGAAAAGGAAGAGTTTCCGGAATTATGTTTATATGATCTTCTTTTCGTCTTTGAAGAATAAAATATGGTACGGAAGTTGGCCACCTTTTCCGGTGTCACCCTGTATATAATCAAGATTGGTAAATCTTGAGTAAGATATTTTTGCAAATTATACAAAATTAATACCAGAAATTATAAACATTTTGTTTGTTATATACATATTATTTTTACATAATATATATATATATATATACAGGGTGCACGATTTATCTGAAGACATTGAAATATCTCGAGAACTATGCATTGGATAAAAAAAAGTGGTTAATGAAAGTTGTTAGTCTCGAAGGGGGACATCCAATGATACCAAACTCGACCTCCCACCCCACCCCCTGGGGGTGGGGATTGGGGGCAACTTTGAAATCTTAAATGGAAACCCCCATTTTTTATTGCAGATACGGATTCTACGCCACAAAATATGTAAATTTTGTCC